TTATCCTCACCAGACTATAAGTTTTGTAAATAGTGTGCTAAACAACTCTGACCCCTCAAAAATTTTTTTTTTGACATAATCAAAATGTCACATCAATTATTAATGTTAACTTTGGAACAAACTTTGCCATTAGAAGTCACATATAAGATGAATGTCATCCCGAGAAAGGCAGTAAGCCTACTTCCAAATAATACCTCTGTTTGATGGCAAAATGTATTATCAAAACGATAGGTGGAGTACTAAGTTGCATATTTCATGAGTTAACAATGAGTAGATAGAAGTCTCAGGTACTCTCCCATGTCAATGTTAAGATCTTTACCCGATATGTTGATACAATGTTTTTGGTAAATCAGGACAAAATTCACAAGATCTTCAATAAATTCAACTCGTCATCGTGATTTGAATTTTAATTTGGAAAAGGAAGTGGTTTATATGGTAATATTTTTAGATTTCAGTATTTACAGATTTCCTACATATTGTATTACAAACTGGTATACAAAGAGCCCACCTATGGTGAGACAATTCTAAATTTCAATTTAAATTATCCCACGTCTATGAAAATCGAAAAAAGAAACTTATTGACACGATTTTTGGAATATCTGACATTTTTCATTCAGGCAATCTTGATAAAATATTATTAATTAGGAAATCTTATATTAATTTTATTTCTAAATTTGTATGTCAAAAATTTAATCACATAGTATGGAGATGTTGTTTGCATCCCAAATCTTCACTTCCAAATGAAGATAAGATTATGCTCACATTGGCTTTACGTTCAAATGATCAATAACCCAATTAAAAACAAATTCAGAATGATTTCAGTGATGATTTTGGTTAACACTATTCTAAATAAGTCCCATGTCATTTATCAATTTAAAGATTCAGTTTCAAAATTGGATAGTCAATACAGTTTATTCAATAAAAAGTTTGCAGTGTAACCTGACATATATAGGACAGACTCAGAGGAGGCTAAGAGAGAAGACTGAAGGAACATCAAAATAATATTAGGTTACTCTTTGAGAGATCTCTGTAACAGCCCATTATATCCTATATAATAAACCACGGACACATCACTGATTTTCCTAATCCACGTTTTCTATCTGTTGAACTGAACATTAATGCTAGATTGGTAGTAAAATCTTAGTTTTTCAAGATCAACCTGACCATGAATACCAACTAATGTAATATTTTTGCAAAAAGTTATGATCCCTTATTTGTACAATTCACTAAAAACAATAAACAATGTCTTCACAATTTCTCGGTTTCGGACACTGTACAAGATGGTCACAATTTTTGACATGAAATTCAAACCTATAATTCTCAGAAAATAACAATCTCAAAATTCCTTACATAAAATTTACAAATCCAGTCAATAATTCTTCCTGACCTTTTTTTCCTTAGGAGTTGTCCCTTTAGTGTCTCCAATCTAAATCTCCCCTGCTTCCTCCCTTCCAGCATCATCACCACAATCTTCTACACTAATCCCTCCTCTGACATATCGAAGTCGCACTTGTACTATCTCCACAGCAGGAATGTTCACTTGCGTCATGACATACGTCACAGCCAATAATTCTCTAATTCATCATTTACATAAGCCAGAGCTTCTCAGTGTGCACTTGTCCTAGTTTTGTAGTTTAATATTTATAATCAGCCTTACCTCGAATGTCTTTTACTGTATTACATAAGATTTTAATTTTGTTTCAATCATATTTTATAATCCAATTTATTGTTCCATGTTTTTATAGGGAATTCATTCTTACACAGTTTTACCATCTCAACTGTTATACAATAAAATTTACTGTTTTGCATCTGATTGTGCCGACATGTGTGTAGTTTTGCATTAGTTTTTACTTTCCCCATATACATTCATATAAACGAAGTACTATACCGTAAGTAAAGTAATGCTGCATGAAAAACAGCAAATTTTCGGGAAATTCATTGCCGGCTCTGGTAACTAAAAAGCACATAAACAAATTTGCTAAATTAATTCTGACACATGGCGTAGAAAGAATATGTTTCGTAGCTCCTTATACCAAAATCCAATTGATGGAAAAATATCCATCTGTCTGAACACCTCTAGCATCTAAACCATACTTATGATTTTTTCCAAAATGAGTATTCCCCAATCGTTCTGATTCCACTCATGCCACTGTTTTTAAAAATTTTCTTCCAAATAGGGGGTACTTTACACGAAGACTGCACACCGCACCCTGGCCATTACCCTCCCCCACTCCGCAGCCTGATACTTAAGCCCCTTGGCTCGCCCGAGAAGTCGTTTTGTGGCTTTCAAGCAGCAGGTAAGAAATGGCTCAACTTACCTTTTCATGTTTTCCGTTTCAAATTTTACATGTTCAAATTCAATTTCATTCACTTTTCTTGCAGTATTAAAATGACTTATCACCCCCCCACTTCTTTCTTTCAGTTCTTAAAATGTTAAATATATTTTCTAAAATTTGTAAATTATCAGTAATTTTTTTATTATTCTTTATATTTTGTAATTTTCTTTATTATTATTATTATTATATTTGTTTTATGATTCACGTTTTAATATTTGTTATTTTTCTTGTACTAAAAAACGGATGATGGCTAAGCCATCAAAAGCTGCTATTGTAATAAACAATATTGTTGGTAATGACTCAAATTTTTTCATTGTAAACGCCAACGAAAACTCACCACAATACCAATACTTGAGATTAGTCTGTCTATGTCACTATTATTGTCTAGCATTACATTCTTTTTATTCTCAACATTTATAATCTTATTAATAGTTCAATGTATTATGTAGTACTTTTTACCCTTTTGCATCTTTATGAGAAGCATGTATTAAACAACTATCCATTGTAATGTATAACAAACATTTTTTCTGTAATATAAATAGAATTTATTAATTTAAGTAATTGTTTCCCATTTGTGTGTTGTAGTTAATAAATTGAAAACAGACATTACAGAACATTACCCTTCGAAACATTGTCATAGAAGTTATGAAAAATGTTATCAATAAGATCATTCCGATTTTAATAAATTGACTGTCTATAATGAGACTTTGGAACTATCATTTATTTAATGAATCAATATTAACACACTTATTGACTGAGGCCTTATCCCCTCTGCAGATACTCTTGCACTTACACATTGTGAGAAACAGATTCACTTTGATTCAAAACACACTGTACCTTTCTATATTTTTCAGCTCTCCGACTGTACATAAAAAAAATTACAATAGTTACTTAACAAAGAAATTAGCCACTAATTCTCTTATTTGGCACATAGTTATGCGATGTAGTTCACAAGTAGTCCCATAACGGAGGTTTTAGAGGACAGTGTGAAATTATAACAATTAAAATTCAAAACGTGTGGCAGAAACACTGAAAAATCTGGCAAGACACATATCAATATTCAGGATGTATGGCAAACCTATCTTAAATATAAAATCATAAACCACCTCACTACTTTTGTGAACTTTTTTAACCATTTTAGAAAGTAAAAATATCAAGTATTTCCTTTGAAAAAGAAAAGTGTTGTTAACCTTTTCGCTGCTCTGGACGCCTTATGGCGCGGCGCCGGGCTGTTTCTGGGAGCCTCTGGACGC